AATGGCGCTAGGGTCCCACAAAGCCAGCATTGGCGACTAATCTTAGCATTTGGACGAGTTACGTCGCGCACACCCCATGACACGCAACGTGGATTACGGCGTAGCGGCTAATTCAAATACGCGCGGGTTAGTTGAGCCGTGGAGCAGGCAAGTTCGTACAACTCGTCTGGCCCCGCCCCTTCCTTATTTCAGGAGGAATCCTTGTTTGGGCTTCATCGACGGTTTTCTTGCTTCTTTTCAATACCGTAAAGGTGGACGTGTAGATTGAGAGCGTACAATGTGTAGTACTAAAACTTGATAAGCCTTCCAGAGGAGTATTGGGAGAAGAGATGCTGCCATATTCTGCTTTTTCATGACTAGTTCGTAATTTTGGGGTGTCATCACACACAGAGGTTCCGCCGCCAGCCTCCTTCAAGAGTGCGACGAAATAAAGCAGACGGCAGACACGGCAAAGACGAATCGCTCGCAGCGCGATACGTTTTGCGGTTTAGGCGTCAGTGATTAGAGTGTACCACTCTACGTCTCATATCGCACAGCACATACATACAAAGTTAAAGGAATCTTCCGAAAAAGCTCCGCCTCCATTACCACAGAAAAACGATACCCCTTAGGCCCCTAGCCTCATGAGCATAGCAAAAAGAACGGAACATAAGCGTTAGTTTCGATAATACTAATCCTACACACAAGACAAAATGATCACTCTTTCCGTGGAAGATTCCTTTAAGGTATCGTTTTCTGTGGTAATGGCGGAGCTTTTTTTCGTTGGAAATTACTTTAATGATGGACGCTGGGGTAGCCAGTGCTTTTTTTATCTACAACAGTTTTGGGGATGATGAAATAGCCTTCTTCATAGTTCTCGGCCCTCCTGAAGAGGGTGTTACGGTGGTTTTTTTTTTTCCCAAATGGGGGGAACCCCTTTTTTTCGGTCTTCTGGGAAGTGATCAACGGTGACTACTGTCCAATCTCTGCCCTGTGCTCTCTGCGCGAAAGGCCATGGGGCAGACGAATAGAGAAGGAGGAGAGGGCGTATTTCAAAATTTTCCTCCACGCCTCGCTTGACACTGTCTGTGATTCGATCAGGACTATCCTCAGTCCACCCACTGAATAGATTCTTCGGCACTACTTCTGCCAGGGGTTTCGCTTTAATCTCCACACGTTGGAACTTTCATTGACCGATTCACATTTTGAAAAAAAAGTCTCATAACTTCTAGAAGCAATGCGAACGATCTGATGAATTTATAGGTTTGTGAGAGAACTATTTATATGAAAGCCATTTATTACTGATCAAAACCAGTTTGAAAATAGTTGATCTCGTCTCCAAACTCTCTTAATTGTCACCCGCAGTTGGGGATCTTCAATGCAACCATATCTTTCCATAAATGCTCACTTCACTTCGATGAATATACATATGGCCCTGAAACCATACGAACTGCAGGTAGTCAGCTCGTTTGCATGGAAGCAATGGAGTTTCATTCCGTCTTTTCTACATTCGATTTCTGATTCTTCTGATGATTTTTCCTCAGAGGCGCTTATCTCAGGATCAATCTAGAAGTGGCAGCACGCAACTGCACTCAGCGACTCGTGTCTATCATCTTTTCTCTCGCTTTCCAATCGGGCATAAGAAGCCGTCTAGGGGGCGGCCAGGGATTGTTCGTCCTTGTTCTAGATTTTGGGCCCGACGTTTTACGACTCCATGGAGCCTCTGTGAGTTCGTACCGTATGCTCTCCCCCATGCTAGTCTTACTTCGACTCCGAATCAGGGTCAACCCTACGCTGGCACAAGTACCAACGGGGGGGTCGTAATGTTAGTCTTGAGTTTGTGGTGAGGGGGGGGGGTCGCATTTGTGAAATTGGTGGTGGAAGGGGGCTTCGTACTAATATACTTATTTCGGTAGCAGGAAATTACAGTGGCATAGGAAAAGCGCGCGGAAAAAATCCCGTCTTTGAAATTGTGGCTTGTAGTGGAAATATTGGTAAAAAGAGGTAGAATAGAGTGAAAATGAGGGAAAAGTAAAAGGAAATGGAGGAAATATTTGTGGTTTTATTGTGGCCGGAGGGGCTCGTAAAAATTTTGCAAAAGGTCCCAACGATAGGACCGACCCTGCTCCGAATTCTTCTTAAGTTTTTTTTGCTTTTTTTTGTCCACAAAGCTAAGGGAAATTTTGAGCCAACAAGACTCGTCCACGGTCTGAAAAAAAGAGCCCCGACTTACTTATTAAGGAGCTTCCTTGGTTGACAGATGCTTTCCCTTTTTTCCTTCCTCGAAAGTCAATCAGCATCTGATGCTATATCTGCTTAAGGCCTGCTCCAGTCTACTGTGGAATGTGCACCTAACTCCAAATGGGTACTCCACGCCTGAGACCGCATCTTATCCTTCCCAAGGGTCGACCGTCGGCGGAGCGGCACTCTGCTCGCTGGCGCTCTCTCGAGCGAGTAAGTGTAAACTCGAACATCCCAGCTTTTCACGCATGTGAAGTGACTATCCTAGGTTGGGGAGACAGGGTTGCATCATAGGACCAGCCATACCCGGTGTCTCTAGACTCGAGACAACGCGACCCTTCAGAGAAAAGAGAGCCTCGACAAGGGGGGGGGGGGCAACACAACACCCCAGAGTACTCAACTTTCTGTCTCATAAGACAAGGAGTAAGTTAGTATAAGCATTAACCGCGCTGTATGCTATCACCACTATATATAATAAGTTTGTCTGCGTGTCTGTTTGCTCGTTTTTTACGAAATTTGGTACTACCTGAAGAATCTGAAAAAGAACCCATCTGCAGAGTGACCGTCAAGTTTTGGATGGGTAGGCATGGGCCAAGATGTACCAAATACATATCAGCTAGGCAGGGTACGGCAAAATTTCGCGGTGTCCGACTGCAAACGTTTCGAGTTCGGTTATATCAAAACAACTGAAGAAACCCTGGAAGCTAAGTGAAGGTTTGGCTTTATTGGTATACTCAAAGTCAGTGAGAGCCTCCACCGCCGGCGTAGGTGGTATGCGTTCTCCGAATAGCGCACCGCAAGCATAAGGAAAAATCCTTAGTAGGCTTAGAAGAGCCTATGAACGCGGTAAACAAATACAGTTGCAATATCACAAGGGTCTCTGACACCATCATCCGAACTAGGTGGAATCCCGCCCATTATGGACGGTAGCACCCGTGCCTCACGTGAAGTATGTGAAACCTGATAATTCTTGCGTTTCGAGTCTCGCATTGACTGGAAAAAGTCGACACTAAGTGGATAGAGACGGAACGGAGGTCAACAGTCACAGGGGGGGGCATGTACCAATTTGGGCGGAGTTACTCACAAAAAAAACTCGGTTCTAAGAAGTCCCGGAGACCAGGAAAAAGTGGAGAGAAGTTGGGGGGGGGGGCGGTGAGCTTCATCTGTCTGTTGGTGGGTGAGCGGGCACCAAGTGCGCGAAGTGTTGCAAGGAGCCATTAGCAAAAAATATCGTTGGTAATATTTTTTAGAATAATGCAGTCTCCGTAAGTGCCACCCCCCGTGCCAAATTGTCACAATTATAATCTAATACAAAGCACAAAATGTCCATAGGATATAATACTGTACGTTTTCTGAGTTTTAAACGCAATGTGTGGCATCTTCAAGTAACCACTCGGCGTTAACGGTAATTGCTGCACCGCTGCACGCTCATCCTCAAACATTGCAGACCCATGCCCACACGTCCGATACACATGCGTTCCGTGTCAATAACTTTGATAGGGAACCAAACTTCCGTGCCATGGATCGGTACGCGCGAAATGATCCAGCCAACGGACCACGCAAGGAACCGGAGATCGGTCGAATCCAACACCGCCGGTAGGTGAAGGCCCACCGCCAATTTATGGCAGTGAGGGATCAAAAGCCACAGTAATGCCGAAAGACGTTTTGAAATAAAACCGGAACAAATAGTTGACACTGACCGCCTACGCACGCCATCAAAATTCGATGTTTACAAGATTGCCCGCGCATTCTTTGTATTGGTGGCATGCAAAAGTAAAAAAGGATAAAGGATAAAGCATTTGCCGTTGATCAATCCCTTTTTGGGATGCGGCACGCATTCTACTTCCATTTGTACATTCGTAGTGGCGTTTGAATGCGATGTGGCCTATACAATGACTTGCGGGGGCCAGCCGATGTACAAGTCAGTGTTTTTATCCTCCCAGACAAGTCTGGTACCAATTAACCGACCCCGGAGGGATGGAAGGCTTGGTTGGCCCGGGCGACTCACGACCCAGGATTTGATCCCCGGACCGCTCGCGTGGTAAGCGTGCCACTTGCCACTACACCACTTCCGCCCAATAAATGCACTCTTCAATTATAAGTTGGGATCACACGCTTTGAGCTGAGCAAAGTGTGATTAAATCCATTTGAGTCTGGAGACAAAATGTCTTTTTTTATTGCCCCCCCCCCTGTATATCCACCTCAATGTATACCACACCCTATAGTACGCGCGCGACTCGTCCGCTGACTTTGCCTTCTTGCCGCGCGACGGGCCTCCTGGGGGTACCCGTAGCTCTTCTACGGATTTCTCTGATAACTGCTGATTGCGGCACCAACGTGCATTCTGTGAATGCGCAAGGTCCTAGCATGGGTTAATCATAATTTCTATGCACGAATTTAAGTTCACCATAAAAAATACAAGGAAGATTGGAAAAACAGTGCTGCAGGACTATCCTCCCAGCTTTACAAACCACAACCACTGTTTCGTTCGATGCCAAGTCCCAACTCATGAGGTGTGCTTTTATACGCGTTTCAATCTTACTAAAATTTACTCCTGTATGGCGTATACCAAATGTTGGTGGATTACCACACTGCTGACCTTCTTTTGGCTATTTCTATTACTTTTACTTATATTTTTATTGTATTATTTATTTCTGTGCAGAAACCGGGAAGCATGGAAGAGCTGTGGTCCCCGCTGAGAAGATCGCCAGCTGAAGGACTATCAAAGTATCAAAGTAAGTATTTATTTCTGTATAATTTATTATTTATTTCTAACCTGGAGTTGATCTGAACGTGAGAATGTCTTTCCGCATTGAAACCAATGGCATTGAAATGGTCGTGAGCCGATGTGTGACCTGAATATTGAAACGTTTTTCGAACAGAAAGAAGCAGTCAGCATATTTCATCGATTACCTCAAGATGAGCTTTGAGATGGCTGGTTTTCTTGTAAGTTTTGCCACAATGCGGTACATTACAGACATGAACAGGATTGTCGCATTGCATTCCACCGGCTCTACTGAAAAGAAATGTTTTCAAAAAGATTTCATTTTATAAGTAGGCCATGATGAAAGATTACTCTTCTAAGGGGGTGTTAGCCTCTGAAACCTTGTAGTGGCTTTTTTTCAACTCGGCAGCGAAAAATTCTCTGGCAAGCGCCAAAGAAAAATTCAAGCCACCAGCGCTCAGCCTGTACCCGCGATTAACATGTGGAGTGCTTAAAGGCACGCTCCGGGATTGGCATGTTCACCTGTTCCATCCCTGATCCTGGTAGACAGGCGGACAAGCGCTGATGTCGCGCCCCTTTTGCGGCTCTAAAGTGAGCGGCAAAGGCGCAAGCATTTT